TCTTTTTATGGTGTTAGCATGTCAGCAGAGCCTAGGTACGCAGAAAGAACATACATTGGTCCTAAAAGGTAAAAAGAAAGAACAGACTTTCAGTAGCAAATATAAAAATCCAGAGGAGGCGGATACAGATCTAATTGTGCCCGCAATGAGGACAGGGCCGGTCCCAGCCGCAGTGGCGGCGGGCGCGGGCCCGGCCCAGGTCGCGGCCCCTCCTCCGCCGGCACCGCTGCAAAGCGGGCAGCGGGAGGCGCGGGGCCCCGGTCACCGAAGGAGGAGAAAGGCAGGCCTTGGCAGCAGTGGGCACTGCCGCCGCCTCAGACACCGCCCGAGGGGGGTAAAGCCTTCTACCGAGAGGAGGGCCCGGGGGCAGGGCCTTCTACGAAGAGGGCGGAGAGGGAACCTCCCATAGGGGGAGTGGAGCCGCCTCTGTTCGCAGGCCTGTGAGATGCCATAGCAACCCCGAGGGCCGGGGAGCTGCCTCAGGAGGTGGCGTCATCAAAGACTGCAGACACACAGGCCGGAGGCCGACCGCAGTAGGTGTAGCATGATGCTGTCTAGCATTGGGACTAACCGAGGTAGACTATTGCCTACAACAGAGTCAGACTGCTCTTGCTCAAATGGCTCCGAGGAGGAAGACAAGGATGATGAAATGGAGATTATTGCTGCCCTAAACAGGTGGAGGAGGGAAACGATAGCAAGAAAAGCCCTCAGAGAAGATAGCCCAATTGCCCACCGCACTAGATCAAAAAGGGAGAAAGAAAGAGAACCAATTTTGTAATTACGACAAACAGTCGGCAATCAGGGGCCAATGTATGTGAAGGTTCCATACTGCCTTTTAGAGTTAGAGCAGTGGAAGACTACTGTGGGGAAATATAAAGAGAATCTAGATAAAGTGGCAAAATTAGTAGAACGAGCTATTGATTCACAAAACCCTGACTGGGCAGATTTGAACTCTGTGTTAGATACATTACTTGATCCCACTGCGAGACGAATGGTCAATAAAGCCATCACAACATCAGTGAAGGGGAGCATAGACAGTGGAATGCTTCAAGGCACTGTCACTCAGATATTCCCCCTTGAGAATCCTGGGTGGGATCCAAATATAGCAGAACATATGGCGAGGTTAAAATGATACCAAAGTCTCATGGTATATGGGTTAAAACATGGTGTACCTAAAGCTATAAATTGGTCAAAGCTTTTCAAAGTGAGACAAAATTATGACGAATCACCTACTGATTTTTTAAAAAGGTTAAGAGAAACTGCTTTCAAATATACTGATCTAGATCTTGAATCAGCTGATGGTAAGGCACATCTGGTTTTGTTGCTTATGGGTCAGGCTTCAAATGATATAAGAAGAAAGCTGCAAAAGACAGAGGGAGTCTGAGATATGGATAAACTGCTAGAGATTGCCTGGAAGGTGTTTCGAGATAGGGGTCCAACTGAAAGAATTAAATCCCAACCTAGTAAGAAGGCAACTCAGGAAAAGTCATCCAACAATGCTTCCCCTACAGAGAGAGACCAGTGTGCATACTGTAAGAAGTGGGGACATTGGAAAAAGGACTGTCCAGGGTTGAAAGAAAAATCTTTAGTCCCCCAGCTCCCAGTAGTACAAACTTCAAGTGGCTCAGGCTCCGAGTGATGGGGACCGAAGGCTACTACCCTCCCAGCAGAGCCTTTGGTTATAGCTAAGCTGGGGAAAGATGTCATCAAGTTTTTGTAGATACTGGAGCAGCGTATTCTGTGTTAAATACCTTGAAAGGGAAACTGAGTCACAATACTGTACGTGCTGTTGGGGCGACTGGGGTAAGTGAAACACAGCCTTTCTTCCAACCTTTAAAATTCAAACAGGGGAAACACTGGCTAATCCATCAATTTCTCTATATGCCTAACTCCCCTCAACCATTTCTGGGGAGAGATTTATTAGAAAAATTGGAAGCAGAAATTAAATTTAAAAGGAGAGAAGGGGTAAGAGTTGTAATTCCTGAATCTACATTTGTCCAAATTGCTGCACTTTTAATACAGGGAAAAAGTGGCGAAATTCCCATTGAAATTGAGAATGCAGTAAATCAATAGTAGCTGTCACAGTATTGTCACAGTACAGCTGGTCTGGATTGGACAAAGTAAATCTAGCCATAACACAAATCTAATTTAGCTAGCCTAATTCATGTCTGAACCACTGCACACCACGGGCCAGGATGCTGGGCAGGTAGAGAAATATCAGCCAATGGCTGTCTAGCCTGGGAAATTTGAATTGAGTATTTGAGTTCTGAATAATGAAGAAGGCTATTTTGTCTGATGAGCGCTGGAGCATGAGTCATGGATCTTTGTCTCCCACCCATGACCAGCACCCAGCACGATACAGTAGCCAGTGATATCCCAGGAAGATCCAGACAGGCAGAACCAGTGAGTATTGTGCTCAAACCAGGAGCTACACTAGTAAGGCAAAAACAATACCCTTTAAAATTAGAGAATCATAAGGGATTGGTATCTATAATTGAAAAATTCCTACAACTTGGTCTGTTAGTGCAATGTGAGTCCAAATTCAACACCTCCATTTCAGCTGTTACAAAAGCAGACGGTAAGAGTTACCTATTAGTAAAAGATTTAAGAGCAATTAGCAAAATTACAGAAGATATACATCCAGTTGTAGCCAATCCCTACACCCTTTTAACCACACTGATGGATGAATTAGGGTGGTTTACTGTTGTAGATCTGAAGGATGCCTTTTTCTGCATTCCTATACACAAAACCAGCCAAGAGCTTTTTGCTTTTCAGTGGGAAAATCCCGAGACAGGGAGGAAATGTTACCTGGAGAGTTTTGCCCTAACATTTCAAGAACAATTCCACCATATTTGAAAACCAACTAGCAAAGGAATTAGAAGACCGGAAAAGACAGGAGCCAGAAGGAGTTGTTCTTCAATACATGGATGACATTCTGATTGCAGCCAGGACCAGAGATGACTGCATAAAATTCAATGTAAGTTTCCTTAACTTCTTGGGACTGAATGGGTACAGACACTCTAAAGACAAAGCACAGATTGCTAAAGAAGCAGTAGTCTGTTTGGGGCTTGAGATCCTCCATGGACAGAAAGAAGCCATCTGTCAACTCCCAGAGTCCCATACTGTAAGAGAGATGCAAGCTTTCTTGGGAAGGTAGGTTGGTGTAGTTTGTGGATAGCAAATTACAGACTTCTAGTAAGACCCCTATATGGGGCATTAAAAGCATCTGAGAGAGGAATTATCCCATGGACTGAACACACTAGGGCAGCTTTCAAACAGCTGAAACACTCTCTAATGTCAGCTCCAGCACTGGGACTGCCAGACCTAACCAAACCTTTTGAACTTTTTACATATGAGAGATTGAATATGCCTTTGAGGGTGCTAGCACAGTGCCTCAAGAACCAACGAAGGGCTGCGGCCTACTTTTGTGAACAGCTAGACAATGTTGCCCAAGGATGGCCAGGATGCCTGAAGGCTGTGGGAACCACTCCCATCTTGATCCAGGAAGCTCTTGAGTAAGAAAACTCACCCTTGTGCCACACATTGTAGTGTATGTACCTATGCAGTAGCAGCTGTACTTGAACAAAAGGGGGGCATTAGTTATCTGGTAATCAGATGTTTAAATATCAAGCATTGTTATTAGAGCAGGATGATGTTACCTTGAAAACAACTTCTGTTGTTAACCCTGACATGTTTCTGTCCTCCACCTTAATCAATGGTGAGCCTGAACATGACTGCTTACAGATGATCAAAGAAGTCTGTTCCAGCTGACCAGACTTGAAAGACATGCCCCTAGAAGATCCAGATTGGGAACTTTTTACAGATGGGAGCAGCTTTATGAAAAATGGCAAAAGAAGGACAGGCTATGCAGTGATTACACAGGACAAGGTGATCGAGGCAAATGCCCTGCCAGCAGATGTGTTATCACAGAAAGCTGCATTGCACTGATGAGGGCCCTACACCTGAGCAAGGAAAGAAGGACTGACTCTAAATATGCATTTAGCATTGTCCACGCTCATGGAGCTATCTGGAAGGAGAGAGGACTTCTGAATGTGCAGGTTAAACAAATCAAACATGCTGAACAAATACTCACCCTCTTAAAGAACATTAAAAAACCTGCAGAAGTAGCGATCATGCATTGTAAAGGTCATCAAAAAGGGAAAACCATTCCAGAATTGGGAAATTGCTTTGCTGATAAAGCAGCAAAAGGGATTGCAGAAAAAGGTATTCTTGCAGTAATTCCACAAAAAGAGGTTGATTTGTCAGAGTTCACCCCAAAACCAAGCAGACACAAGCTAATTAAGTTTCTTAAGGCTGAGATCACAGAAAGTGGATAGGCTGTTACACCAGCGAATCAGATTGTAATCCCACCCTTGATCCTTCAGGAGCTAGCCCAGAGGGAACATGAAAACACACATTTTAGGGTTGAAAATCTTTTAAAACACCTTAAAAAAGTAGTAATAGGAAAGGGTATGATTGACATTGAACAATCAGTAGTGAGTAAATGTGAAATCTTGTCTCTGTATGACACTCGTGGTTAGGTTCTTTTTTCCCTTGAACTGAAGCTGATGAGAGGGAGGCTGTTTTTCCTCTTGTTTGGACTTGGTTGTTTATTCTTCTCTTATCTGCATTACATGTATACAAGGTACAAGAACTTATGTGCACTAAGATAGAAAGGCGCAAAAAGGCTAACAAAGATCTTCTTCAAGGTCTTTTATATGTCTATTACCCAATTAACAGATGCCAAGCAAATTATTTTTCTTAGTGATCCAATGACCCAACACCTCTGTGTTGCACTGCAGCATCTTCTACCCAATCACCCACTACTACCCAAAAACTTCTAGAAGAAGAAGATGAAGAAGAAAGAAAGACAAGAGACAATGCCCTAAATATTCCATCTTGTCTTCTGTTCTCTAAACTAACTTAAACTCCAAACTTTAACTTTTTCACCCAGTGACATAAGAAAACTTTCTAATTTACACACTTACACTTCTAGTTTTTCTATTTAACTATAACAGTTGTTTTCAGGATGTTATATGAAATTCAGTGCTTTCTTGGATGTCAGAGCCAGGTATCAGAGATAAGGGCACACTCTCTGTGCCTCTGACTCCAACAAAATCTGTTGTAAGAACAACCCTGACTTGAGGAAGTGTTGTGTTAGGAGAAACGAAATCAGGAAATCTTCCTGGAGATTACTGGCAAATAGATTTTGTGGAGTTACCATGCAAAGAGGGATACTGGTACATACTGGTATTAGGTGACACCTTCAGTGGATGGACAGAAATTTACCCCTGTAACACAAACACAGCCAAGGAAGTGATAAAAGTTTTGTTCCATCATATAATTCCAAGGTTCAGGGCTCCCTTGGGGATGTCATCAGATAGGGGATCACACTTCATTGCAACAGTGGTTAAAGAAATCAGCCGACTCTTGGGAATTACTTGGGATCTGCATACATTGCATAGACCCCAAGCAAGTGGTTAAGTCAAACATATGAATGGGACTCTTAAAACACAAATTAGTAAAATTTGTCAAGAAACATCCATGACATGGGTTCAAGCCTTGCCTATAGCTTTACTAAGAATTCACATTCAACCAAGGTGAGAGGATAATATCAGTCCCTATGAAATACCATATGGTAGACCATATCAGATTGCACATATTCCAGGTGAAGTTCACATGAAAGGGAAACTTGGTTTACAAAATTATTTAGTGTCTTTAAGTTCCACTTTGCAGAAGCTCCAGACTTACGTTGTGCTATCCAGACCCATAGGACTGGACACTCCTGCACATCCATTCCAGCCTGGAGACTGGGTCTACGTTAGTCACTGGGACAGTGATTCTCTGTAAGCCAGGTGGAAAGGACCATTTAAAGTTCTGCTGACTACCTTCACTGCAGTCAAAGTTGCTTGCAAAGGACCCTGGATTCACTACTCCAGAATTAAGAAAGCTTCTGCTCCTGAAACAATTGTAACAATGAAGACTGATGCAAATGATAATATATTTTAAATGGTTCCTCGTCTGTGTCTAATTACTATTCTTCTTTATATGATACTTGATTGTGTAAGATATTATTCTCATTAGATGTTTATTGATATTAGGTTTATGTTTATTAAGTATACATTTACTATTAGATATTTATGTAGTGTTAGATATTTATTATTGTTAGACACTTACTTGTCATTAAATTCTTATTGCCAGTAAATATTTAGAATAGAGACTTGACAAGGTAGAGGCCTTGTCGAGCCTCCAAAGTGGGGAAACCGATGACTTATGTTTTAAGTTTTTCTGGTCTGCTTTGGCATGCAGCTTTATATTAAAGGTTACAATGATCTTTTCACTGGGTAGTGAAGACAAAACAATCCTATTCCAGCTGGGGACTCAAGAACAGTCGAAGACAAAACAATCCTATTCCAGCTGGGGACTCAAGAACAGTCTCTTCAAACTTCAGGTCCAAAGCATAAACAATGTAAAAAGAGGAGGGCGGGAAAGCAAGCAAGGAGGATGAAACTTTATGATTTGAGGCTGTTAATTGGACAGTTGACTTCTGTGTGCAAATGGACCAAAACGTATAAAAATGTGAGATCTTGTGACCCAACTCTCTTTTGCTTCCATCTTGGAGCCATCTGGGCAGAGCCATGACTGTGGCACTGGTACTGCCAGGGTGTGGCCTTTGAAGGCCTCTCAATAAATATTCACTTCATTCCTCTTTGTCTAGCCTCTGTTCCAGCTTCTCAAGGCATCAGCTGCTGTCAGACAACAACCATTCAATAATCACCCAGTCTCTTCTGAAATAAGGTCTTGAACTGAGTGTGGTACATTTGATTTTATATCAGAGAGCCACTAGCAGCACTATCAAAGGGGAACAAGCAGTCTAAATTCAGTGTAAATAGACTGCAGCACATAAAACTTCCAAGTGCGAAGAGCTAAGCTACTCTTTCTGCTTCTATGTTTCAATTTTACCACTCTGAGTGAGAAAAATTGGTAAACAAGTAAAGAGCCCGTATTTTTTGTGTGTCTTCTTGTGCCAGAGCTTTTCTCAATGAAGTGATTTAAACTTTAGTTGCTCCCTTTGTTGCAGTCTGATCTATTTGGGTCAATTTCTGCGGCATTATTTCTCTTCTGGAAGGAGCAAACATCATAAAAAATAGATGAAAATGTTTGAACAAGGTGTGGGGGAAGTAGTAGTTAAATATACAGTATGTAATGTATTTATTTCTATACATCCATATTTCTCAGGGCTTGTAACAGCTTGGTTGCCTGCAAAAGGAAACAGTGGAAGGCTTACTTTATTCATGATTCCTTTTCCTGTCGGAGCCAGCCCAGATAGCCATGAAAAGACAAGATAATTTGTTTAAGAATCACTGGGAATGTGCTAATATTCTGAAGATTAATCAGGAGACTGAACTAAGCAACTCTCATAAAAAACTTGGAATAAGAAAAAGCTACAAGGAAACACAATAATAACACTATTTCTGCTACTTATTTTTATCTCGTGGTCTGTTTTGGAATGAAGATCTTTCTGCTTCTCCAAAAGTGAGAAAACAAGAGCACTGTCTTGGTTAACCAGACTAATCAGCAGAAGATGTCCTGTGAACTTGACAGAAGTTTTTCACTGTCTGTGAAAATTTGTATTGGCTGTGCAGACAGAAGTTCAAATTCAGCATATTTATTTTGAAAAAGACTACAGAAAATGAAAGGAAATAGGAATGACATGAGTGAAGAGAGCAGAATTTGACACTACACATTAGGTAAAGGACTTGGAAGGATCAAAGATGTCTTGTGCTGGTGAGAATTTAGATTTCATCTTTAGAAGTTTTATGAAAAGTTGCCTAAGAAGGTAATGTGACACCTGATTTTCCTTTATCCTGCATAGCTGTAAAAGCCAATACAAGAAACAAACTGGGAATTAAATGACTACCCAGTCAGTATTTACTTGGTTTGAAGTGCAATAAGGTCTACATTCCCTACTCCAAATCCTTTAAACTGCACGTCTGATTTAGTGAATAAGAGCTTTTCCTGGGACTAAAAATTGCAGGATCTTGATGATGAGATACAGAATCTTTTGTAGAGTTAAAGGAGAAGCTTACCCCTTATTTATGTATATATAAATCATATCTGAAGCCAGTACACAAATCCCAGAGCTACAAAGGAGACATCAAGAAGATATTGTAATTTTATGTTCTGCACTTAGATTTTAAATATATTAATATTTTTAAAGGTCCTGGGTTTTTTTAAGTGTAACTACCCCACAATAACTTTCAGCCTGTTTTTTTCTTGTATTAATGTTTTCATTATACACAGGAACTTTTTGTGTGTAGAAGTACTGCTTTAATCAGCTTATTTTCAGAAGAAACAAACTTGCTGTCATGCTGTCTTAATGTCCCTTCCCAGTAGCTTTTCAAACCAAGAACTTACTCTGACCATCTCCAATGGCAGATAGAGCACTCCACAATACAGAATTCCCACAGCCTTAGGAAGATGTGTGGCCAGAGAGATGAGAGAGAGAGAACAAGCCTCTGTCAATGCCCCATTAGAGATCAAAGCTGCAGCATAATTTCTCCATCAGGGACAGACACAAGTGCTTTTGGACTCCTTTCAGAGACTCCACACAGAAGCATATTCCTTCAAGACAGAGCCAGACTTCATCAGCTCTCCTGGTAAAGGAACTGCTTGTTCTACCCCTTTGGTTCCAGCAGGAGTAATCCAAAAGGACTTCTACACCCAAAGAACTGTCATTTCACAGAACAGACAAGGAGGTGGAGGGATCAAACCACTTTCCCTTGGAGGTGACAATGAGAGGGTCGTTTCCACTGCACTTGTGATGAGCCCATTTTCACCATTTCACTTTTACAGTGCCATGGATGTCATGGGGCTGAAACAATGAAAATAAGAATAGTCAAACAGGAAAATTCAGTGTGAGCTTTCTGGCTTCCCTGGCTACATTCAAGCAGATGTTACACAATCACATTTATACCACATTCCAATCACTTGATCTAAGCATTACTTGCCAACAGCCTTGGTGGAAAGCAGAGGCTTCATAAGGATTGCTGCAGAACTGCTTTTGTCCAGGGTAGTTCAGCCCAGGATTATTTCAAGTATGCATTGCACTGCAAGAAGTTGTGATGTAGAAACAAATGGGTTCATTTTCCCCAGCAGTCACAGACTAGTTTTGAGACTGGCTCCAGCCAAACTGGCTCCGAATCTCCAGCAGAGCTTTGCTGAAGTCAGCAGAGCACAGCATAGGAGATGGCAGTTCAGCCTGGTCTTTGAGACTGGGGCTGAAACTCATGGAAAGGAAGACAGAAAAATAGTGACTCTTGAAACAAGTTACTAAGTCTAAGCATTTACTGGATAGTAAATTATTTGCTAAAACTCTAAGACGAACTGGAGCCTTATCATGATTTTACTGTTAATTCAATCATTCTGGATTTCTTAATGTAAAGTTAATTAATTGTTGTTGGCATAATTATAAAATATCTTCAGTTTTATAATGGGTATAAAGTTCTGAAATATAAATTGAAGACACCTCACATTTTTAATAGATGTTCCTTAACCTTTAAGGCATTTAGTTTTGTGTGGTCAATGTGAGCCTTTTTCCATTACAGAGGACATTTTCTGAGGTATTATTTATCAGGCAACTGAACAGGAAGTGCTTTGTCTACTTACTTTTCCCTATCTGTTCCTCTGTGATGCATCTATACATACCTATATCTGTGGCAGATCATCCTGTTCTGACACTCAGCAGATATTCCAAGTATGCTCTCCATTTATTCCATTTTTCCCTGGGCAGGCACAGGCAGCCAGTCCCTCACCCCAATCCTCTTTCCCAAACTGCTCCAATAGTGCCTTAAGGAAAGAAGTCAGGTTGGCTTCTAGGAGATTTTCAAGTCTTGTCAACAGCTTAGTAGTGGCTAAACAGCCTGAATCTTATCTCTGTGAGTGCTTTCTAGGAGATGACACTTCATTCTTGCTGTGGTTGCACCAATACCTGAAGGATGTCCTCAAAAGCCAATTGCTATGGATGGGCCTCCCAAAAAACTCCATTGGCTACACCTTGCAATGGCCACCCACACTGGGGTTCAGAGGCATTTTTCCCACTCTCCTTCCCCAGTGATGTCACAGTAAATATCTCCCCATGTGCAGATCATTCTCTGTAGCCAACTCAGAGCATTGTCAACTTCCAGCTTTATTGGATGGCACACACAGTCTTTGGGGAACCAGCCTTGCTTCTGGAAATCTTGCCACTGTAATGCCACACATCTCTGAAGGAATTGTCTATCAAGGAGGATGGGAAGCTGAAAGACCTGAAAACCATGAAATCATATTGGGTTCTAAAATCCTGGAGATAGGAGTAGAACATGAGTTAATGGGACCACAAACTCAATGAAATAATGACTTTTTCACAGTAAATGAGAGGTGATGAGAACGAGCACAGCTGGGGGTTGGGTCTTCTGCATCTTCTATTCCTATCAGTCAGCAGAACATCAGATATAAGGAATTCTCAAGGTACTTCTCACCAAACAGTAAATCACATCTTTGGGATCCTTTTCCAAAAAATACACAGTTTGGGGGATAAACTCTCCCAAGAGCTACATTCGGAGTTCAACTTCTCCCTCAAGGGTTCCTGAATCCATAAGCTTGCTGCTTAATTGAAAAGCAATGAAGATATCCATGCTTAGCATTTCCCCCAAGACTGTTGACTGCTGCAGTCAGGCTTTTTCCTAGACATGTAAAGAATGCTTAAAAGTGCTCCTGTCCCTTGGGTGTTGCCATGCAGCTTTGTTTACTGTTTGTCCAGAAATAACTCTATCAGTCAGAAGTGGTTGCAGAATCAAAAGACACAGCTAGTATTTAACTTGACTATAAAAAACCCTCTTTATCCATTCTTCCTTCAGACCACCAGGAAAATATTAAAGCTTAACATATGACCTTTTTTTTTGAAAAAAAAAATCACATTTTATATAGTCATATAAAACAGAGAAATTAACATAGCTCATTACTGGTTTTAGACAGGGCTTAGAATGCCAGCCACCAAATTAGTGTGAGGATTATCATATTTTGGAGTAAAAGGTGCCAAAACCTGTCTAAACGGACTTGATGGGCAGTACACTACAATGTAACACCAAAAAAAATAGCTCCCTATGAGAAGCTGCAAGATCAAACCAAAATTAATTACATGATAGGTCCTAGAAGCATCATCTCCGTAGCTTAAGTTCAGCAAGACATCTTGTGCTTCTCTGTGCTTCTTACCCTGAACTTTCTGTTTCTTTCAATATTTAAAATAAATTTTGAAGGCTATTCATCTTTTTACTGAAAAGCAAAAAGCAATGGGAGATGGAGTTTTCTGTTCCCATTTTCCCCAACGATGATAAGGCTTAGGCC